CAATCCTCTTGTATCAATCCTTGTTCAGAGGCTTTTAATTGTGTTCCTCCACCTCTTTGGAAACCCCTAGCACATTTTTGAGTTACTAGATCATTTCCTTCTTTTAATTGCATTTAAAAGTCTAAAGCTATGGCAAGGTTTCTGCAAAGTACTTCATGATAATGTAAATAAAGGATTTTCTCCTGAAGAGGGCTATGAGTAATCGCTTTATTTTCATGCTTTATAAAGTTGCTGATCTTTGATATATCAAAAATTATATAATTTCTCTTACTGCTTTTATGTGATGCAATTATTTAGTAGTAAATGTACATCTGGAACAATTTGTGTTCTTCTGGTTTCATGCCATGTCTTCCTTCAAGATCCTTTTTATTCCTGGAATGTGCATTTTTACAACACAGTCCAAATAACAGTATTTTCATAATTATATTCCTTAAAGAACTCAAGTCTTACTCCAAAGGCTTTCATCCTCCAATTAAGAGAGAACATATAGGCTGCATGTTCTAGCATATTTCCTTAGTGTTTGCGTAGTCAGTAAGATATTTCTTCCTTTACTGTCTAATTACTAATCCTACCTTTAATAAAAGACACATTATCTGTAAATATTTTGGAACACTAGAGCTAAACTTGCATTTGCCAAATAAAAATTGAATGTCAGCTAAATTCTATACCTGTCCCATCCCACAGTGTAAAGTGGAGCCTATCTGTGTGCTAGCCTGTGTTTGCTGACATTTCTTCTCTCCTTGCCAGGTGAGCTGGCCAGAGGTTTGTGATTTCTGTTCTCAGGTTTTGCAAATCAGCTCCATTGTATTAAGTTGGCTGACAGATAGCTTCTCTACAGCTAGTAATCTAGCTTCAATATTAGGGAGTTTACAACGATACTCTTTACTACATCGTTTTTAGCCTGGTTTTCTGGGAAAATAAAGCTTACGAAATCAAGTCCCACCTGTTTCTCTGTCAGTACAAGGAACATTTGATCCATCATTCAGATTCAACAAAATTTGTCAAAGGAAAGGAAATATTAAAGACATCCAGTTTCTGCAGCTTTTATGAGAAAAGTAGCTGAATACAGGAAAAAGATCATATTAATCAGCTGACTAGAGAAAAACTTAGCCATAAGTTAATTTTATTAGACAACAGAGAGGCAATGTGGAATGATGTTTCAAATGCCTCCAGCCCAAGGCAAACTTCAGACAGAGTTTAAAACATCTGAAAATCTAGCTGTAGACAACGAAGCCCTAAGAAGTGGGATCTTCTATATTTCTGCTCAGAAATGGCTTGATGTTTTGCCTTTTTACTTTGTTCAGTTAACAGTGCTTACAGATGACAGTCATGTACCAGAAAGCAGCTTATACAAAGTGCTGGTGAACGTAACAGTGCTGTCCACAGTGCGCTCTTGGTTCTTTGCTGGTGGCTGACAGTCGCACCTGGAAGATGGCAGCTTCAGTCATTTCTCTTCTAGGAGGCAGATTTTACCATTTCAGATAGCCACAGTGGGAAGAGATAGACTCGAAGTTAAGGTTGTAAATTCCCACTGAATTTCTCATTTATTTGTTGTTGTTTCTTTTTTGTAAGCTGAACTCACTTACTCATATCTACGAATACATTCAGTTGAATACATGGATTTTAAAATGCTTGTAGAGAATATATGAATATAAGCAGCAGTGAATGGTTGTGTGCATTGCCCATAAAATATGTGGCCATTTGTACAGCCACAATGCAAATAAAGAATAAATGTGTCAACACCAGGTGATGTATAAGATCATTCATTTATCCACCTCTGTATTCACTTGAGCCCCATGGTCTAGTCGTAGTCATAAACTGTAACTCAAAGCTGTTCCCTACACAAATGATGTATCATTGCTAATTGATGCATGAGGTTAATGTCATCACGGGAGGAAAACAGATATAGCAGCTAAAAGTACATTCCTTGAAAATGTTTCAAAAATGAGATCTAAATGACAAAATACTGATGATGGAAATTTTCTCAGGAAAGGGAGTCCTCTTCATTTAACTGTTCTTTGGGAGGTATAACTTGTTCCTCATCCAATAAATCAGACGGGGATTTCCTTGTACCATAAAGCATATTTTGTGATCATCACTCTTTCGTATCCATCAAAAAGTCATTAAAACTACACCCTGCAATATGCATTGGGGTGAGTCTGGAATTACGGCCCTCCCAGGACTAGTGATAAGATATCTGATTGTGTCAGACTTAGTTCCAGATTTCTTCTGCAAACTTATACTCCCAAAATATTATTTATCTTTAAATTAATAAATTAAAAGTTATTAATTACCTGCAAAAGCTGCCATTCCTGTGTATCTGCAGTACAGCTAATGAATCTTTCAACAGAAGCAGTTCCACTTTCTGTGTGTGTATGTGTTCCTCATCAAATGTGCAGAGCAGTTGGAACAGAATAAGGTCTAATGGAGCCACTAGAAATTATTTTGACAAGTTCAAATTATTTTGACAAGTTCAAAATAAAATCCTTGCGAGCATGTATTTGGTATGATGCATTTGATATCTACTTGAACATCTCGTGTTGTAAGGTAATACATTCGTGGCCATGTTGTGTTAGCTTTGATATGGTATGAAAGCAAGCTTAGCTCAGAGGAGTACAGGTCTTTATACTGGCTGAGAGTCCAATAATCAGCATTTTATAATGAAATCTGTAGTCCTAAGCAGTATTGAGGTAAGAAGGTACAGTTGCTTTGGTGAGAAACGTCAAGTGCTGAATCTGATGGCTGTCTCTTGAGGTCTTAAGTCATGGAGAAGGATGACAGTAGAGCTTTCAGTCTCGTCTCTAAGTGCAGTGGTTGGCACTAATGTGGAAGTGTCTGCTACAGTAAAGATGAAAAGAGAATGAAAATTGATCATTAGACACCTTGGCCAATGTTAGTCTCTAACATCACAGAAAATTCACAGTTAGGTGCAAAGGAGCCGTGTGTCTCCTTAAACCAGCGGCCAGAGAAGAGCCCGGTGCTGTAAGGGCCTGGGGTACTCGAGGGTGCCTTCTCCTTGCCCTGCTCACGGACGGGGTGCCCGTCTTCACGCCTCGGTGTGGGGCATGAGGCCTGCTGGGGAGGAGATGGGAGCTGGCCCTCAGCTCTCCGCTGCTCCTCAGCGTGGCGCAGGGTTTGGCCTGCCGTCAATGTCCAGCAGGCCGATGTTGTAACCTCTGAGGCATTTTTTTTTCTTCCCCAGTGTTTCCCCGCACTCTGGGGCCTAAGAGATGACCTGTGGTAATACACTTGCATCTAAGTGGCGTTACTTTCTGGGACGCTTCTCAAAAAACACATTTGTACTGTGAAGAGTATTCACACTAAAAGCTGTGTGTTGTCCATCCTGAGATGGCAGAAAACTGAGCTCATGTCCTCTCCTTATTATTATTTTATTTATTTATAGCAAACGTGTTGTCATTTGTGCACAGTCAGCGTTAGCACAGCTGAGTGGCTGGTTAGAGGTGTTTTATTTTTGTAACCACAGCATCAACCGAGTTCGTTTTGACTCAGTTGGACTTGCTAACATTGAGCCCTTCCCAGATTAAACCTTCATTAACACGTGTCAGTCTGGAGGCCTGGTAGGCCGGACAGTGACCTTTCTTCTGCTGCTGTCTCAGGCGAGGTTTATCACTCTGACAGAACCTAATTAAAGCTGAAAAAAAAATAAAAACCAGTGAGTGATGTCAGTGAGAAACTGAACCAGAGTAGGAACTTTTACTGGCCACAGCACATCTGTAACTGGCTGCAGCTCTTCCCTTTTTTCACTCGTGGAGGGAAGGTTTTTCTGCCAGCCATTATTCATCTGCAATGAAGAGGGATAATCTTTCTTAATCCCTTGAAGGGGTTGTTTGCAATATGCTCATTCTGAGCTTTAAATCACTTTTTACGTAGGGCTAGATTCTGTCATGCTTTTTCCTTCCAAGTAGTAGCTTTGACCGTTAAATATGCAGCAGTCAGTAAGGACAAGACTGAGAAGTAGTAGGTGCCATGCTGGATACATAACTGATGGAGCCACCTGTGTGAATTTTCACCTGCAGTTATTTTTCTTCATGAGAAAAGACTTAAACTTCTTATTTTTATGGTCAAATTTTTTATCTAGATAAGCACCAAGACCTGTGGTCCATGTTTTTTTGGAACACTGGAGAAGAAGGAAAGCCTGTAAACTATACAGTTTCTTTTCTGTGTGTGTGTGTTCCTCACAGGTTCAGCTCCATCCATTTCAACTGGGAGCTTTATTCCCATCCCTATCCCACTAGAACCACAAATTGAGTGAATCAGCTGCTGTCTCAGTGATCATGGTTTGCACCAGAAATTTGTATAATCCGTTATACAAAACACTCCTGTCCTTGCATTTTTGATTCTTCAGTAATCCTCAAAGTGCAACAAAGCCAGTGCTACCCAGAGAGCCAAATTTAGACACTTATCCTGTAAGGACAGATTATTTCTTACATTAATGTGTTCCAGGCAAGAATTTAATGTACAAGGAAGAATTTCTCTGCACGTTGCACATCTGATAATCTTCCTTAAAGAGGGAAGAAGCTACAGACATTACTTGTTTCTTATTTTCTAAAATTCCTGGTGAATCTTCACCATTCTTGTTTCCATCCTGTTCTCTGTTTGCGAGATTAAGATTTGGTGGTTCTCATCAGTTTCTCTATATCTTCAAAAGTATGTTTATTATTTGACAGAGTTTTCATATCCAACTTAATATTGTCATATAGACCAAGGCTGATGTGGAACTATTTTCTTTACATGGCTTGTTAGAGTATTCCTGTTCCTGTACACCTGATTCAAGGATTAAATGCATCCAATGCTAAGCATATTTTGTCAAGAAACCTGCCTCACTGTCTGTTTAGAGCTCAGAAATTTCTGAGATAATAGTGAACTCTGGGAAAGAGTCAGGAATGTGGGGAACTGAAGGGTTTTAACTTGGTGCGTTTTGAACATGAAACCATTTTCCATGTCAATAATCTAACCCTTTCATATGTTATTGATTTTAGTTGATGAAGGAGTTTCCTCTGCTCAGCATGTTCAATATCCATGAAAACCTGCTAGAAGCTTTGTTGGAACTGCAAGCATATGCAGATGTCCAGGCAGTCTTAGCAAAGTATGATGGTAAGTCCGTATGTATTTATATTTTTTCTATACAGTACTCATAAAAACAATGTTTCAGTCAAGCTTTAGAAAGTCAAACTTTAAAATTTCAGAAGTATTGTAGTAAGGTGACTTGCACAAGCTTCATACATCCCCTTACACAGTCCTTAATCCAGAGATTACATACTGTGTGTTGTTTTTTTTTCTGCAAAGCCTGCTTCATTCTCTGTACAGAGTAATGGAATTCACTTATTTCTTGCTCTTCAGCACTTTCTTTGCTTTCTGTTGATGCTTAAAGAATGACTGTCTTGGTTCTGAAGACTCTTATTGTGTGTTATTCAAACCTTGTCTGAAGAAAGGATTGGAGTATGCATGAACCAAATGGCTGAATTAAATGAAAAACCCGACATTTTGATATTTCTTAACTCTTTCTCTAGCTTTATCTTGTTGCCTTTAAAATGTTCTTAATTACTAGATTTTATGGCTTTTCTAATGTTACTTAAGCAGAGATTTTAAGGCTTGTAACTTCAAAAGTTTTTGAAGAGGTGAATGGAGGCTATTTGAGGTGCTGTTGCATACGTGGCTACCAGTATGGTCACTGGAACCCGTAACCACAGAGCTTTGGCCACTCTCTCTTTGATTCTTTGAATAGACTTCATGTCCTTTCAAGCCTGTCCCTAGTTGATCTTCTGTCCCATTTGTCTACTGAACTCCCTTCTACTTCTGTTTTGCAGTCAATTTCAGCTTTCTTTTGCTCCCGGTTCCTACCAGAGGCTCCTGTTTCAGCCAGTACCATTCACTCCCAAAGCCATTTTCCTACCTCACCTAACTAGCTGTCCCAGTCTGGTTTTCAGGGCAGTGATGGTCATCATACATCTCCTCACCCACTTCACTCCTCTCTTACCACTTACATCTTTTCTATCTACACTTTTCTCTGTGGCTTCTGTCTTGGTTTTGTTCAGCTTTGTTCTCTTTGCCTGGGCACCAAAAAGCAGGAAAGTATAAAAGCCCATGGAGACAGGAGCTTCATACTGTGGCTTCAGGCACCATGGGACTTCAGCACATCCTTGTCTTTAATGTAGTTATCTACTAATAACTCTGGGAAATAGCAGACCTGTGGCGGAACAGGAAATTAAATCAAGCCCTCCCAAATCTCAGATTAAACTCCTGTGCCAACGCTGCTTTTGCATGGTGAAGCACTGATCTCTAGGTTTAAACAATACTATGGTGGCACTTTGAAGATGCTAAAACTTGAAGGTGCGTCTTGTTTTCTCAAAAGTGTCTGATATAATCAAAACTGAGGTCAGAAGTATAACAGATGTGGATTTTCAAAATGAAACTCTTTTTACTTCATCTGTTTGAGCCTATGCATTTTCAACTCATTTTTTTTTTGCCATATATAAAGAAAGGTGTGTATATATGCTAGGTATGCACAAGGACTCCACAAGCACAGGCTTAACCAGTATGACTCTTACAGCTCATGAGTCTCAGAAGGCTCATCTCAGGGAGTCTCAGCTCATTTTAGAACTCATCAGCTTCATGTGTTGTAAGATTTATTGGATTATAAAACAATGAACTCATTTATACTTTCCTATCTGCAGTTTCTGTTGGTTCCACTCCACTGCCTTTTTTTTGACTGAGCCCAAACCTGATTTATTGTATTTTGATAACATATGAACAAATTATTTCCTTGAGCAGCCTGCCCCCACCCTAGGCTAAAAAGTTGGATTGCATTGTGCAAAACCTCAGCCTCTGCAAGCAGACACACTGCTTTTCTAAAAGCTGTGTGTTAAATAGTGTTTATATTATGTACCTGGCAACAGAGCTGATGTCTATACTCATTATTCATGGAAAAAGGGCCTCATTAGTGGGAAGTCATGCACTGTTGCTGAGCTACATCATTATGGTTTCAGAGTTCAGTGCCTGTCAATAGAGTGCAGATGACCTAAATACTGTTGAATTCTGAAAAGAGTTTTGGCTCTGATTTGACATGGATCCATGTTATTTACAGCAGAAATAGTTATGGCTGCTGAAAAGACTGTTCTTAATGGGATAAGCTTCTGGTATTCATAACAGATAAAGCTTATCTGCTCCTATTTCCTTACTTTTTAAATTGATTGTTTTTCAGTGGAGTAGGTCTGCTTGTTGTGATGCTCAGAGCAAATGATTTATTAACTTCCCTGGGCAGTCCATCCCTTGACTGTTATTCTCTGGTAACCTGGGTACTATGTGAAAACTCAGACCTTTCTGGTAATTGAAAATCAAATTAAAAAAGGTTGGAGGCCTGTTTGTTTAGTTGTAGTGATGCAGTGATCCCTCCCTGAAGATCTCCTTGGCTTCTTTTTTCTTATTTATTTTTTTTTTTTGTAATAAATGTCACTGTCTTACTTTCTTGTGAGACTGTAAACTTTCTGGTTTGCAGGAGGAACACTTTGTACAGATTCTCCTTTCACTTACCACTTGCAAAGAAGGAGAAGGAGAGTGTTACCATGTAGACAGGCCTGAATTAAGAGTTAACTTGAGAAGAGAATTTAGACCATATGATACATAGAAATAAAGTGTTTGGTGGTTTTTGTTTGGTTGGTTTTGTTTGATTTTTTTTTAATGCAAAAGGTCTCATTCTGCTCTAGGCTGTTACACTTTTATTTGGTAACTGCTTACGTCGAAGAATCCTACTCTAAATTAGTGTCAAATCAAAATGCAAACCTTTAAAAAAAACACAATTAGAAACAATCATCTTTATCTTGGAACGTGCATGGTGGATGGGTATTGATCATATTCTTATTTGTTAACAGTTAATGTAGAGAAACCAGTTTTCTAAAATGTATCCCATTCAGAGTTACTCTCCGTTCTTCAGTCTCCCTCTGTCCAACTTCTTGTCCTTACAACGTATGAAATACATGTATGTAGGTTCTACTTACAGTGAACTTAGAATCATATCACAGAATGGCTTGGGTTGGAAGGGACCTCAGAGATCATCTAGTTCTGACCCTCCTGTCATGGGCAGGGATGCCACCCACTAGATCAGGTTGCTCAGGGTCCCATCCAGCCTGGCCTTGAGCACTTCCAGGGATGGGGCATCCACAGCTTCTCTGTGCAAACCTGTGCCAGTGCCTCACCACCCTCAGAGTGAAGAATTTCCTCCTAACCTCTAATCTAACTTCAAGGCATTCCTTCCGTAGGTAGTTAGGTAGTTCGTAGGTAGTTGTAGATTGATCAACTAATCACATGGAGCCTTCAGCTATGGTCTCTGGGGCTTTTGTGGATATTTGCCTCAATTCTGTGTCTGTTCATACCATCTGGTCTCTCTCTTTTTTTTTTTTTTTTTTTTTGCCATATGATTCTGTGTTTTGCTTTGTTTTGTTTGTTTCTCCAGCTTGTGCAACAACACAAAAAGTCTAAACTAATTGTCTAAACTAATGGTACTGATCTTGCTCTTTCTAATCTTCTCTAGGAGAAAAGGTTGCTTCCCCTTTAGATGCATTTAGGATTAAACTCAGTCAAATCAAAGGGGTTGACACATGTCTGGTCACTGCGATGTTCATCTCAGCCATGACACGTTTACAACCAGCAGTAACCCTCAAAATATGTCCATATCTGAACAGTTTAAGCACTTGCTATGCTCATAGTAAAATAAAACACACTTTGTTTGTGCTGAAATGTTTTTCCCATCCTACCAGGGGACCAAAGCCCAGGCCTTACCATGCACAGTGTGTGATTTTGGGGTCTTCCACCAGTGAGGAAGAAATGTCAAAACTACAGAAAATCCAAACTGCTTTGTGTTACAAGCACAAAGTAAGCGTTAGGTCATCGTGTTCATAGTTTTGCTCCCTCCAACATACTTTCTACCATGTCTTGTGGAAAAAGGGCTCAGGCAATGACTGTTCTTGTGGGAGATGATACCACAGGACAGTAGATCTTTCTGACAAAGTGTTTCTCCCCTGATGTTCAGTTCATATTTTCCATTATTGAATTCCATCCCTTTACTCTCACTTTAACCATTTGTATCAGCTTAATTCTTATTCTTCCACAATGTTTGTATCTTTATAGATGACCGCATCTCTCTTCTGTCACCACTGATCCAGCCAGCACATATTTATGCATTAGACCACTTTCAGTCTTTCCTGTAAGCAGTTCCTCCTTCCACCTGTGCACGAGTTGATAATCTAGTCTGCAGGTGCAGAGAACTGGGGGAGCTCTGTGCTGACAAGGCAAGTGTTGGCCTATCCCTGAAACACTGCAGTCAATACACGGGCTGAGGGAGAGAAAATCAGACCAAACCATTGCATGTCCTGTAGTCCATCACTTTTTTCTTATATTTTCACATATTTTTTTTCTAGTTTGTTGGCATACTTAAATGTTGCATGTTTAGAAATATGTGAGTTCATCTGGTACCGTGAAGTGTAGCCTCTCTTCAATACTGTATGGAGAAGAGCTAAGAGTTTGACTGAGAAGATCTTACTGTACAAATTGTGGCCCCAGATCTACAGCTTATTTCAGCAGATACTTTTGATCCTATTAATGTTGATAAGACTAGTCACCTATCTAAAGTTAAACCTGTAGGAATCTTCACTGCTGACTTGGAAATAACATGTCCTTTTGGGTCAAAAAAGGGAGTAGTTTCTGACCAGTCACTTAGATTTCCCATTTATTAATACCTAAAGGAATTGCAGCATGCCCATGTTTTCACATGTAGGGCTTTCTGATGACTTGGATAGGGGATGTTGCACCAGCCTACACGCAGATTCATCATTTCTTGGTTTAGTTGCTATTTTATGAGAGTAAGAAATCCCATGATCTATTTAGATGATGTATGGCATATTCTGGATACCACGAATCACAGAATTAGTGATACTCTGGTTGCAAATCCCTATGCATAGCATCTTCCATTAATTCATTCTCAATGCAATCACTTACAACGCAAATAACCAGTAAGAATTGGCTTTCCGAGCCCTCCCAATAGCTCTCTGGGGCTACTCCAAAGAAAATGACTGTTAATTAAATTTCAGCTATTTTGTATTCTGTTTGAAGATACAAGCAATAAAGAAGGGAGAGCCTTTTTTAGACTGTCATGTCAGTTCTTACTAAGCAAAAATATCCTGACAGTTTTGAGAACAGAATAGCAGTTGCATATTTTCGCACATTGTGGGAACTCCACAAGTAATCATAGGAGGGTGGGAAACAGTATATGTGAAGATACTTTGCCAGATGGCTCAGCGAGCTGGACACACTCATCTATGAAAACCTTCGCTTTGGGTCCTGACAGAGGACTTATCTCCTACAGCAAGTTTAGACTTGATTCCCTTGCTAAAGTCAAGTTATAGCCAGCCATAATTGTTTTATGCTGTTTTATAAAATACAAAGGTCCAGTTTAGGAAACGAAGCCTAAATTATATGAAGGTTTTAAAGTATTGTAGTGATCAGGCTAGGATATAGAAGAGCTGAATCCTTACAGTCTAATATGGGGCAAGCAAAAAGGAGGAGGGGAGCAGCGTCGACCTACTGAGGGTGATCACTATCTCCACAGCAACATAAACACCAACATTTGTATGCATTTCTTCCACTGCCAAGGGACTGTAGGTATTACCCTCAAATAATTGCTGCTTGCTTATTAGGAGCCTAGTAGTGAAGAGCCCTCCTGGGTAAGGCAGGTTCCCTGCTGATGTATTTACTGCAGATTACCCTTTCTGTGAGCTGAGCAAGCTATTAAACAAAATTAGCTATTTTGTTTGCCCAGTTATTCTACCTGGAAATCTGTCTCCAAACTTGATGTCTTAAAACTTTCTTTTAATCCCCAGCCTACATTTGATGTTGGACTGTTTATTCTTGTGCCAACATTGTCCTTCAATTAAACAGCCCTTCTCCTTCCCTGGTGTTCTCTGCGGGTGTGCATAGGCAATAGTTGTATCATTGCTCAGGCCATATTTCATTTGGATTGGTACACAACCAATTCACAGTCTTTTTGTTTACTTTTCTTGATCTTGAACATGGGTGATGAGATTTGAACACAACATTCCCTTGAAAAATCCCATTGCTTCTGCAGGAATGACTCAGGTGGTGTACCTAAGCCTTACCTCACCTCACCACATTTCCCTCCTGTGCAGATGCCAGCACCTTACAGTGCATCATCCCGAAATCTATATGCACAGACTTTCCTCAGCTGTTTCCAGCCTAGGAGCACCTGCTTCCTAGTAGAAGACCTTGTTTTGTGATCTAGTGTTTTGTTTTAGTATATTTAACCTCACATCAAGCTCAGTTCCTACTCCATGATACCTTAAGCTCTTATCCTAGAATTAATTGTGCTCCTCACAGCTTGGTGCAGGTAACTTCCACTGAACATTTGCCATTCAGGAGTCAATGATCTGATGCAAAAACTAGCCATTACACACGCGGTGTGACTTCGGTTATGTGGAGTAGTCTCATTGCTTCACCTCATGGATTGTGTATCAGTGACAGATTTGCCACGTTCTTCCTGTCGTTCTGTTTGGCTGCCATACCTGCATCCTGTGTTGAAATAGAGCAGGCAGCTTTTATAACAACTGGTTTTCCTCTGCTGCATCCATTGCATATTCTAGACCTCTTGATTCCTCCTAGTCTTCAGCTGCCTTGAAACAAATAGAGAAGTGAGGGAGTGCTCTTACTCCATTATTTGAAGTAGGACAAGGATTCTCGCTTCTTTTTTTTTTTTTTTTTGCTTGCATGGGAAAATTTCTAGGGATTTCTGACTAGCAGCAGATCTACCCCTTGCTCTGCATCATTCATGCAAAATTTTGTAACTGTCCAATCCTCGACAAACATGGCTAGATGTGAACTGAGGGAAGGGAAAATACTTCCTGTGAGACAAAGATGACCTGGTGGCCCAGAAAAACACTGTACAGATCAGGGGAAAATACGGTGTTCTACTGACCAAATCAAACCCCCACAAATGACTACAGGTCATTGTTTTGTTGTTGTTGTTTTTCTTTTGCATTCAGAAAGAAACTCTACCTTCCAATCCATTTATGGTTGAAAACAAGCCTTTAACTAGAGAACAGAGCCTAGTATGTTCTGCAAAACACCACTTCTGTTTACTGGAAATGGCTTTTAACTCCTAATGCTAAGGAGGACCTGGTATAAGCAGGGTTACTGGAGGTGCTTATAAGTATTTTCTCTTCCTGTCACTGAAGGTGTGCTCAAGTGTGTGTTTGTAGCTAGCTTCTGTTATTGTAGCAATTAAGATATGCATCACCTAGACTGTTCTGCATGCTGTTGATTTTAATTACTTTTGTTGCTACAATTACACAATCCAATGAAATCAGAGTTGGAATATATTATAGGGGAGTATCCAACGTGCTCACTACATCTCACTCTCAATGACAAACTGAGGGACAGATAGTTTCTGAGAACAATAGTCTAATCATTAACTCTCCACTCTTGCAGTGGGCCTGGTCCAGTGCCTTTTATTTACTATGCTATTTATTTTTGATATTTACTGGTGGAAGCTGTATATTATTTCTGGGCCATAATGCTTTTTATATCTTACTCCTTCATTGGGATTTTCTTACACTAGTAGCCAGTGTACTGTGTGCAGAATCCAGCCCTTAGGTTCTTGGTTTTTTTTTATTTATTTAACTGTAATCTTTACACTCTAATGCTGGAATATTTCACCCACTAGATAATATGTCTGCTAGGCAGATTACTAGTGTGGAAGTCAATTCTTTATAGAGTGGGAACAAATCTCTAGATGAAATCTGTTAAGCAGCATCTGTTAAGCACCCTTTGGATGCTTGGTGCCAATCTGCTGGTAGAGAACAGGTATGAAGTGGAACTAATGGGTTAAGTCAGATGTATGGCTGCTTTGCATATCTAGGACAGCATAAAACGGCCTGAGGCTGTCTGGTGAACATTTTGGTTCAAGATTTCCTTAAGAGGCCAAACACCTTAATTGTATTCTTGATCTTTAACTGCAGTGAATCTAAGAGTTGTTTGCTTGCATGTCAAATCCATTATTACTTAAATATCTGTCTTAACTTGTGTAGCTGCCTTGTATTCGTATTAAACTGCTTCTTAATAAAAACAAGAGGAAGGAATAAGATAGCTCTTAGCTATTTCTTAAATGTTTCATAAACTGGAAAAAAATCACATTTTCCAGGTTACCTTTATGTACAAAGTAATGAGTTTTTTTCACTGTCTCTGTAATATCACTCCGTGAATTAGTTCTTTAATGAACCAGTTGATGATTGAATGGCAGTTCCTGTGGTCATTAACACAGGTTTTAAAGCCTGTATATTTAACTTGAGTGGAAATTTAAAATCCATGTAACATGAGAGTGCAAGTTCTGAGATCAGAATGTACTCTGCATTCACTTAATAATTTTGCGCATCCTATGCATACTTTGATGAAGTATTGATCAAACACTTCTTTCTGCAGACTCTTAAGGGCTCAGATGTTCACTTTTTTCTCTCTTTTCAACAGATATAAGCTTACCAAAATCAGCAACAATATGTTACACAGCTGCGTTGCTCAAAGCCAGAGCTGTCTCTGACAAGTAAGTGCATAACAACCTCTCTCCAACAAAATTCCTGATTTAACTCAAGATTTCTCTTAGGTGATCTGCTGAGCCCACACCCTAACAATCTGCTGGGTTAGCAGGAGAATTCAGTCCTGCAGTAAATTCACAAAATTAATTTATATCTAAGAAGAAAAAATGCAGTGATCAAACATTGCAGTTCAAATATTACGAAAGAAGAAAAGAGAAATAGCCCAAATTCAATTCTTATTTCAGATTTATGTATACTATCTGGGTGAGCTTTGGCTTCCTAGATAGTATAATGAAGATGTAACCAAAAGATCCTGTAATGTGTACTATCTGGGGGAGCCTTGGCTTCCTGGGTAGTATAAAAGAAGATTCAACTGAAAGGTGCTGTGTGGCTCAACCTCTTCAACTTTATATAAACCTGACCTCAAAAAGGTAATAAATGCATGTGGATACACTGGTAACAATGTCATTTACAAATGCTGTGAGAAGACTGCTTAAATAGTGGCAGGTGGATGTAGCATTACCATGTCAGGGATTCTGAGAGGTAGATTATTTTCATATTTTTAGACACACAAATATCTGCTCATTCCTGTTATGGCTATCTCCTGGGTCTCAACCTGCCAAGGTGCTGAGCACATCTACTCGATACCTGTGGACTTGAGGGTGCTGGCCCACTCCAAAAAGGTGCTCAGCTCCTTGTGAGATGGAGCCCAAAGATCCCAGTTCTGCTCTCAGATGCCTTTACACAAATCCCAGGCAGGAGTTGTGTCCGTGCACCTGAGGGCCAAATGCCTCCCTAAAGTTGGAAAGCAAGTAGAGTGGAAAGCCGTTCTCTTGACTGACATCCTGACAGTTTTTGCTTTTAAAGTGTATGTACACATCAAGATCTAAGTAATTTTCTTTCATTCTTTTTATCCTGTAGATCGCCAGTACCTACTGCAACATCTTTCCTCCCTACACAGCGACTCCAGCTTGGGAGGGCAGGGCTAAGGTTGTCACAGCTTTCCCTGTGGTGTCTGCCTGCCAAGTACAGCTCTGGAGTTAGCCGTGGGGTGTGAGGTGAGAAAGAGATTGCATGGTCTGGTTTTTCATTCACTGGGGCAGATGAATTGCCCGCAGTTTGGGCATGCTACCCTCAATGGTGCTGCGGCCAGTAGACCACCCGCTACTGCTGCTGCATCGTGCTTCCATCCCAACCTGGCCCAGGGGCATTGGGTTGGGAACCTCCCTCAAACCTCCCCGAACCTCTTTTTAGTAGAAACCCTCCAACGATTATTTGGCATTGGGTTTTTTTACTTTTATTTTTTTTTCCTGCAACTTCAGCCTTGAATATGCCCCTTAGAAAGGTATCTAGAGCAAATTTAGATTAGCGACAGAGAAAGATCTGACTGAACTGACTTCCTGCCTTGACTAGATGCAAACATGCTTTCCACTTCTGCTGGGATTTTCATTGGCCTTCACGTAATAGATCACTTAGAGTTTCCACTTACTATGGAAGTTTGGAGAGCATAGGAAACTGACACAGTTTGGTTACATGGGCCCATGATCTAGATTCTTTTTCTGCCTTCTTCTTACTAGCATTTCTGACCTAATGTGTTTGTTCCTTTGCTTTTCTAGATTTTCTCCAGAGGCTGCCTCAAGGCGAGGGCTGAGTACTGCAGAGATGAATGCAGTAGAAGCTATTCACAGAGCAGTAGAATTTAATCCACATGTGCCAAAAGTGAGTATGGAGAAAATATTGTTGTAGTTGTAAAATTGCTGAGGTCCTAACTCCTGTTTGTTTTTTTTTTTTTTTTTTTTTTGATATTCAGTTAATCACATGATGTTGTAGAAAAGGGAATAAGCAATAGGAGGGCAAAGAGGCTGATAATCTGCAATTTTTTTTTCTTCAGGTATTTCTCATAAAGTGTGACACTTGAAGCTTGTAATTTTAGCTAAAGTGAGTCTTCTGTGTGACTAACAATTGCATACTGCGTTGTGGTAGTAGATACCACCAAATGCTATGCTGCAGGACAGAACTATATATAGGGACAGATTATTCGTTGCCCAATAGCCATAAAATATCTTCTAGTTTAAAGTAACATATTCTCTTTGTTTTGATGACTACATAAAAGAACATGGTTTTGATATGCCATATAAAGAAACTTAGATTTGGAGTTCATGCTATGCTTCAGACAAGTTGCATTAGTAATCCTTATGCAGCACTCTGTCATTAAGCTCTGAGAACACATAGCTCAGAGATGAAGAATCACTGAGGACTACAAAGATCAGTAAGAAAAGGGATTTATGTTTTAATTCCCTAATCCTCGCCCTAGATGTGTATCTCAGCAGTAAGAATCTTGCCTGTGGCTACTGAAGGCTAATTTATTATTTTCTCACCTGCAGTCTGTAAGTTCACTGTAAAGGCAAATTAGAAGGCAGATGCTTTTTGGCCCCAGATCTGCCTCTGAACCTCACCCTGCAAACCTTCTTTGGACCAGTGTTGCACTGTGAAAGCAAGCAGCCTTTGCTAGAGAGCAGATGGTTCGTGTGTTAATGTAGGGAGCCTATTCATTAGTTAGAACTGAACACCAAGTCTGGTCAAGGTACACTCAAAATTTCTTCCTTGTATATGCATGTATTTCAGAAAATTTGTTCCCAATCATTTCAGGAATTAAGTATTCTTTCTGTGAGATATATCTGTTAGGCCATCCACTAAATAGCATGGTTTAGCTATCAGAAAGGTAGACTGTTTAATAAAATTGTCTAGACTTCCTCGACAAACAGTGGCAAGAAGGAACTGTGTTAGACATCTCTAGACAGTCTTTCCTTCTGAGGTGCTTCTTTCTACGTTGACCATGAAAGGAGCAACTACTTTCCATGAAAAGCCTGATTTTTAGACTAGATTTAGGTGAGTCCATTTGTTATTAGCTGATCTTCTACTTTTGTGGCAAGCTTACAATGAAAACAGTCAAATTTGGTTCCAAGACTGCTCTTGGATATCCTATGGAACTCTGTTTATCTCTTCCATCCCAATGATTTTTACACCAATACAGCCATTGATGCTGTCTTCTACCTGGTTGTCTGTTTGCCTCTCTATTCCAGTCTTGTTCTGGATAATTTTTTTTCAAATTCTTTCTTACCCAGTTAAAACATATCCTTATTTTTTTAAAAAATAGATCACTTGCCAAGCAAAGATGTCAATTTAGTCTTGTCATGATCTGTCCTTGGGAGCCTACTTGCCTTCATGCTTTTGAGTGTTTTTTTTTCCTTCAAAATCTTTTTTAACAGATTGTGTACTAATAAATCCACATGAACATACATTATTTCCCTCCTTTAAATACGTGGTACTCCATTTACCATTCTCATTACCAGATCACTTGATTTTGAATGGGGATTTTCCTCTTTTAAGTTTGTAGTGCAAGTCTGGCAGTTTCTGGATCCAGTTCTTTCATTGCTCAGGGTTGGGGAGACTATTGGCTGCAATGGTTTCCACTTCTGAATACTCTTTTGATGTCCATCCTGCTATTGCCCCCATGCTCAACACTACCAAGAGCCTTCTTTTCTTTGGCTTGATTTCCATTGCAAAATCTAATTTACTGTAAGTTGTGGCAGTTGCCCCTGTAATCTCTGCACTTCCAGACCTTCAAGATGCTACTTTGCTTGCAGGTCGTTGCTTTTATTCATTGCTTGTGACCCTTGTCTCACTCACCAACTCCTGTTTAGGTGACTGTTCAATAAAAGTCTGAAATTCCCTTTCCAACAAGCATTCCCCATGTGCAAAATGCAAATTTAGTGTTATTTTCTGTACTTTTAACAAAAGTCCAGTCCTCATTTAAGTTCCTCAGTCTAGTTCACATTGTTAATTGATTCCTTCAGTTTGAATTTCACAGGCTGTCATTCTGAGATTAAAAATCATTGTGAAAAGGATGAATTACCAGGATAAGGAGGTACTAATGGGAGCAGACTTTGTTGTTGTTTTTTTTTTAAAAAGTTTATATTTTGACATTAAAACAGCGTAACCAGTTTTAATACAGACTAATATACAGCGCTCCTGATTTTGCACTTATATTCTCTTTGCTATTAGCTAAATGCTATAAAGGTAGCAATAATATATCCGTGATTATAAATTTATGCAGAGTGTGGATATTGCACCTCAATTTCTGCTCAATTATGATTGAAGTCTCTAGAAACAGAGATAAGCTGTAGCAAGCAGCTAAAAAGAAATCACCAGAAATTGAACAGTGCCACAACGTTAATACATCTTCAAAGCTTCTTTAGCATTTTAACGCTAATGAGTCTCTTGTTCTGACCGAGGAAGAAATAAATTATGAAGTTGACATATTACTGAAAGCATTTGCAAAGTTCTCAGCAGAAGCCTTGAAAGGACCTACAGTATTAAGGAGGAAAAAAAAAATTAAATGGTTCAATATGTTTACGGTTTCTCTCAAAAGGAGATTTTCCATTTTCGGTGTAATCGTTAAAATTCATCACATAAAAAAGATTATTACTGGAAAGGCATTTTTGAGACGTTTAATGGGAAGCAGCAAATTTTCGTTAATGAGATTCTGAGATGAGGAGAGAGCAGAGAACACAATTTGACCATGCTGAGAGATGTTGCTGAGCTAGACTTGGAAACAAAGGGAGAATGGGTCTGCCTTTGACCCGTTACAGGTTGGTGTAAAACAACCATTAGACTCCTACTACGGTACTGCTGGAAATGTATGGCCAGATTCCAGTCCAGTGTGCCATCATGTCAGATGGTCAGATTTTCCTTCTTACACTTTATTTCAAGCGTAACTTGAAGATGTAGGAACACTTTAAGAAGAAACAGTTTGAAAGTCTCAGATTCCCATCTTTACATAGAGGTGAGAAACCCTGCAAAAGCACCGGTCTTCCACGTGGGAGCCAGCGTGCTCTGGGCATTCTCTCTGTGTTTGTCATGTGAAGGTGTAGGCAAAAGAAAATGAAAATGCAGTTACTCTTACATCGAAAAGGATTTCTAATAAGTAAATAGATTGCTTACCCATCACAAGCATTTTTGAATGCAAAGGGGCTGATCATCCTGTGTAAAAGAGAAGGGAAACAAAAAAAACCTAGTAAGCAACCTGGCTTTGGAATTTTGTTCACCAAGTTTCTAGTTATTAATTGAATTTGCTTAGTGTAAGCAAATGGACAAAATCCGAATTCTTCTCTAGAAGATATGGGAATTCTCTGAGCACTGATGGTGAAAAGTAAACATTCAAACATTGGCTGGTTTCTGTGGTGTGCACCCAACTCCATTGATCCTGGATGACTCCACATTTATTTTGTGTCCACACAAAAATGCCTCTTATGGAGACCTAGTAAGGCTGGCAATCTTTCTTCAGGCAGCCCCCTTTCCAGCAATTAATCTTCTTTTGACACAGGGCTCTTCTTCCATTTCTTTTAGTATGTTTCGATGACAGTTTTCTTCAGCTACAGGTGATAAATTGTCATTGCTTTTCAGTTATGCTGGAGACAAGATGTGACACGTGGAGGTACCAGAACTAGGTTTTAGTGAACAAGGGCAATACAGAGCTCCGTGCATTTTGCCAAATCTATCCAGAAAGCTGGGCAGCTGAGCTGGCTGTGCTGTTTCTGGAAGCTCAGCTGTGTAGTGGAAGGCCAGCTGAGGTGTGTCAGCAGTGATTTCTTTCTTAACTGCAGTGAAAACTGAACCACTGTCCAACTGATCGTGGTTTCTCATTCTGAAGACATCTTACCTGTAATCAAAAGGTTTCTGTGCTTGAAAGCCACTTAATTTTTTAAGCTGTACCAGAAAAATATCTGATAGAAGATATTACCTCTGTTTACAGAGTTTGTCTTGTTTATGTTGCTGAGACAGCTCAGCTACAGCAAACTGCAGTTCTATGCCTTGGCAGAGATTGTCTTTGTAAAGAGAAAGCAGGTGACCAGGCAGCATATTTTCAGGCTCCTTTTTAGTAGAAGAAAAACATACCAGTAGCAGATGGAAGTCAGCAGTACAGCAGGAAAGAGAGCAAAGCAAAGAGCTGTGAGTTCCACTAAGAGAAGAATAACACCAAGTTGTATTGCTTGTTTGTGGCCACTTGCCTGATTTTTTTTCAAGCCATCTCTTTCTTAAATGAGATTGTATGCTCCGGGATACCTTTGTGTTAGTATAGCATCAGGCACTGTAGTGTTTGTCCCAAGGAAATGTGCTGACACTGGCAACGTGCTGCTCAAAAATTTAAGAGGTTAAACAACAGGAAAAAGGTTTTATTGCCATAGTTGGGGTATCACTGTATTCCTGAGGGGTTTGTATGGAAAAGAGAGTAGTACATCCTCGGTCATGGGGAGTACACAGGTCATGGAGCATATGAATAAGTATGTATGTATGCATGGAAGACTTCATCAATATTATTTATATGTTATTGTTGGAGCTTCCCCGCTTCTTTGCAATGTAACTATCTCGAGTTAATGCTGATAAAATACCACAGCTGTGTCTGCGATGTTCCTCAGTTGCGGAACACCCTTTCTGAATCGATTTGCAAGGCTTCCTCCTCTCAAACTCATCCTGAGAAGCGCACCCCTCCCTCCCCCAAATCTTTTCTGCAATTCATAAGGCACAAACATTTTTAAGTCTAGTAAAGTCAGAGGGTCAGATGATGGTCCATCTATATCTAATCATTACAATTTAGCCAGAGGTGTGCCCTGCACACAGTTGTCTGGGGTGGCCATGTAAGCCAAGGGACTGAACTG